AATGGAATGAAAGGTTTTAAAGGAGGTTAGAAAAAAGGATTGAAAGAAGAAAATAACAAAATCGCAAACATCTGCTAATGCAAGTGCACCCCTGTTTCAGGCAACTGAAGCGGGCTAAAAAAGAATGTAATATAGCTTTAAAAGAGAGAGTCGGACTACTAAGCTTTTGTAGAGATTTCTGGAGATAAGAATCTATTAAAAGCCCAGTGAATCTGTTACTTCCCAGTGAATCTGTTTCTGACAAGGAGCGAAATATAAAATGAACAATTCTTTACAGGAAAAATTTACAAAGTCGTTACGTTTAATTTTACGTCATTTTCAACACCAAACAGAACTGTTTCATTTATCAAGAAATGACTAAGCATTTTAGGCCCAAATGATTTCCGCCATATGATTTATAAAGTTAAAATAATTGATTTGTTCCTGAATCCGATTATATTATCGAGAAGTGAACAACTCTTCCTCTCCTCTTCTAATTCCCTCTCTTCTTAACTGCGGACTTAAAGTGAGCATTCGCAAAAATGAAAAATATTCCACTAATTTGTCTTCTTTTAAAGCTCGACGAGAATTAGAAAAGCATCACAAATTCATTTTGAAATACAGAGAATTCAGGAAGCGATACTTCAAGGGCAATAAATATTAATAGCGAGGCTGCATTTGAGGCCACTGCTGCTGCTGCATGATAAACGGACCTTGTTGCGACATCATTTCCTGGCCAGGTTGCATCATCATTGAACCTAAAACAAACAATTATTTTCCACGAATGAATCGTTGGTAGGATAAACACCAAGAATATAAAAACCACCCAAACGATCCGCACAGGTTAATATGTTACTCAGCCTTATTCTAATGGCAAAAGATATCAACACTCGAAATCTAGTCGATTGCCCGAGTATACAGCACAAAAATACACTGCTTCCGTAACAATCCACTTCGACGAGAAGTTGCTGGTGCTACCTGTCAAGTATTTAGGAGTACCAACTTTTATGCAATTCCGGAAGGAAGCCACGGAAAGGCCAGCCAAAAACACGACCGGTGTTGCCAAAGAGCTGTCATTCGGGCCACTTCGGGATGTATGTAATAATGAAGATTGAAAATACTGGAGAAAAAAAGTAGCTAATCACCTTGCTGAATTACACGGCCATTCTGATCAACATACGACATTTGTGGGCGCATCTGCTGCATCAGTGTCGGCCCTTGTGGGCCCATCTGATTCTGCGGGCCGCCCATTGGACCTGGACCTGGCATCCCACCTTGTTGTGCTATCATGCCACTTCCAGCTCCCATCATCTGTTGACCACTCATCATCCCTTAAAACACATCAGAAATTACAGAATAACTCAAGTCCAGTGCAAGCGCCGATAAATTTTAAGGACTGATACGAGCAAGCAACTTTTTTTGAACAGTCCTGCCTACGACTGAAAGTCACATACATACGCATTCTACATGCAAAAAAAAAAA